CCCCCCCCCCCCTACCCCATAAAACCCTTTGGACCAACGGTTTTGCATCCCCCCCCCCCCCCCCTGTTAATGCCGTTTTGTTTTTATTTTCGCACCTGGGGTGCCGGCCCGGTGACGTTGGCATGGTTGACGGCTCGCTTTGTCATGGTGGCGGCGGCGGCGGCGGTGTGTTTTTTGGACACCGGCCTCACCCTCCTCGGCAGGACTCGGCATATTGGTGAGAATGAACCTTTTTTTTTGTCCGATCTTGATGGGGCACACCGGCCACCGGCGGTGCGCAGTCAATCCTCTCGGGATGTTAGTTGCCTATGAGCACGCAACACATGTCCAAGGCTGCTATATTATAGTTTGTTGTTGATTTCCTTGACCATGGAGCAGACGTGGGCGAGATCACTGCTGTTGAATGCGCGGTTTCGTGAATTGTTTCCCGACGATGTGACGACACCATTCACAAGTGAGCACCTACGTAACCGAACATGAGTGTGGTGGTTGATTTCCAGTTCGCGGTGGTATGCCAAGGTGCAGTGGGACGCGCGGGTCGGGGCATGTCACCCAGCGTTACGCCCGCCGACTCCATTTAACACTCGGATTTACGTTGAAGACGTTGTTGTTGATCCTCCGATTTGCGATACCTGCATTAGTGCCCCCCCCCCCGCTCGGTGTTTGCCATCGGGATTGGGTTTTCGTCGCTTGGCACCGACGCTGTAAAACAAGCCAATTCACTTCGTGAACTCGGCAACCAGGTTACCGTTTTTTTTTTTTACCTCGGTTTTTTTTTTGGCGGTAACCGTAATGGTGGTCGAGTAGATCATGTTGTGCGGGGTGGAGAACCCTCACTCCGCGCAACGGGGGATGATCGCACCACGTTGTGTTAAAATGGTCAAGCACCCTCGAGGCAGTTACACAGTGCTTATAACTGTCTCTGGAAGTGAAAGCACCAGAAAATAAATTAAGTCATACGTAGCTGTCATCCGTACGCAAGGAAGTAAGCACAAGATGCCGAACACCCTTAGCAGGATGCAGCTCACCCTTCATGCGACTCGCCAAATACCTCACGGTGCTTCGCGCTTGGTGATGTGAGAGCCTGGTCCGGTGAGAACCCGGTGTGCTCCGTCCCGGCTTTGTAGGGATGCGAGGTCAATGGTCAAACGACTACGGCATGCACGACTATGAGTACACCCCCCCCCCCCCCCC